ATATATATATATATATATAAAGTAAGTAAAGGTTAGCCCAGCAACAGCTAAAAGACAACCACAGCACAAACATTTTGCTAAAATATTTTTTTAAAGTGTTCTCTAAAGTACGTGTGTGTGCGTGTGCGTGTGTGTGTTTTCAGGGCTAGAGAACATCCGTCTGATCTTTACAGATAAGGCGTTGGACGGAGAGACCACACTGTTGTCCAGCTATGGTATCCAGCACATGTCCGTCATCCAGATGGTGATAAAGGTTCCTGGAGGACTCCTGTCCTAACGTCCTCACCTGGATCTGCTGCCCTCCTCCCAGGATTCCCTGATGTTCCTTTCTGATTCCTAGACTCCGTTCATGTCTGACTTTGCACTCATTAAAATTCCCGTTTTTCTTTGTGTGATCTTCTTTTTCTTGATCGGTGTTTACAGGAAAAGGTCACAGGTCGTGCAGGAAACCCCCAAATCCTTTGATTTGTTTTTGTTAAGGATTCTGAAATTATGTTTGGAATATTTCTATTCAAATTCTTGCTCTGTATACCTGACTATTTTGACTTTTTCCTTGAATTTAATCATTGCAAATAGAATTTGTTTTTCCCTATGATTTTATAATAAAGGTTAAAGAGTTAATTCAAGAGTTAGAATGAAAGAGTTAGGAGTTTGGAAAATGGGTTAAATATGTGCTGTAGTGATTGCATCTGGGATTCTGTTTTAAGACGTGTGTAATTCATTCATCATCTCCACAGTCTGTCTTTGTTCAGATTTTATATATATATATATATTTTTTTTTTTCGTAATTTTGTAATTGAAGTGTTAATTGTTTCCCCCCAGGATTATGGCTGTGAAAATTAATGACTTTTTTTAACCCCAACATTGAATGTGGAATGATATATATATCCAAAAATTGTTTATACATTTAGAATTACAATAGTAATAACGGGATATAAATCTGAATATTTTGTTCTCAGAATTTCAACAATACAATTTTAATTTGATTGAAGTGCATTACTTTTAAATCTGGTTTTAAATTGAGGTTATGACAAATTCTGACAAAAGTGAGAATAATGGAATTCCTATCTAAAATGAAGAGATTTGGACTGGTTCAACTCTGAAGTCCAAGTTATATGTGTTATTGTAAACTATTATAAATACTGAAAATAAAATTCTGAGATGAGAGAATTCTAATCTTAATATGTGTGTGGATTTGTATGTGGTGTATGATGTTTCCTAATGCATTTTCTGGTGTGTAGATAATAAATTCTGGCTGATCTAAATCCAAACAGGTGGTGTTTACGGTCATAAAGTCTTGACTTGTATTTGTACTGATAACATTCTGTTTCCTGGTTCCTGTAATG